CCCGTTATAATACAAGATTTTGGAAAGTGGGTGTCCAAAATGAGTCTCCTAAGTCGCTATTTAGGCACCTAAACAAATGGCCTGACTGACAGTTGCACTGAAGGCAATGTAACAGACTGGCAGCCTTTGCCTTAAGTGTCCCATCCTGTTAGCAGCCTGATCCTGCTGGGAAAGCATAAAGTGGGTTCCACTGAAACACTGTGACACCTGCCTCCCTGGGTAGAAGGGAGGTTGGAGTGGTTGTCTGAGAGAGAGGATTTGGGCTGAGTCTTAAGGGTAAAACTCTTGGAACAGCCAAGCCTGGGGAGAAGGTTGGAACTGAATGTTGGTTAGTCCAAGATTTCTTTGTTAATAGAACCAAACCTTTGGAAAGGGGTGAGTTTGGACTCCACCTAGCCTGTGGATTGTGCATAGGGAGCAGGCTGGGGAATATGCCTGCTCACAGGAATCACTCTTGGATCACCTGGATTAAATGTGGAATGTAAAGCCTGGATAGCAGGAAAAACCACATCCTGTGTGACTTAGATGATGTTTTTCAAGGAGCTTTGGAGATGCCAGCTGATCAGCAATGTGGAGGACATTTACTGCAGTGGCAGTGAAGGAGGAGGAGAAGTCAGGGTAACTTCTCTCCTGCCTTCTTCCCCTGTGATTTGCAGAAAGAGCTGGTGCCAATTTCACACAGTGCCTGTCATTCAGAGTGGGGGAGATGGGGGCTGAGCTGAGCTGCAGTGTGCTCAACTCAGCACCCTCCTTTCCTCGAACGGAAAAGGGAGAGATCTCCATTCTCCCTCTTTTATATGGGAAAGAAAAGGGTAAATCAGGTAAACATCTTACATGAAACAAACTGTACCATCGAATCTCTCCGGATAGGAATTTCATGCTTGCATAATAAGAATATAGCAGTCAGAATATCCTACTGACCACCTGACCAGGATGGTGACAGTGACTGTGAAATGCTAAGGGAGGTTAAAGAGGCAACAAAAGCAGAAAGCGCAACGTTTAAGGGTGTTTTCAGCTATACATGTATTGTCTGGGTACATGTCACCACAGGACATTATGCAGAGATAAAATTTCTAGACACCATCAGTGACTGCTTCTTGGAGCAGCTAGGCTTATCCCTCAAGGGGAGAGGCAATTCTTGATTTGGTTCTAAGTGGAGCACAGGATTTGGTCCAAGAGGTGAATAGAGCTAAATTGCTTGGTAATAGTGACCACAATGTAATTAAATGTAACATTCCTGTAGGGGGGATAATACTAAAAAAGCCCACCATGGTAAGATTTAACTTTAAAAAGGGGAACTGTATGAAAATGAGGATGCTTGTTAGAGGGAAGTTAAAAGCAGCTGTCATAAGGGTTAAATACCTGCAATCAGCATGGCAACTATTTAAAAACACCATAATAGAGGCTCAGACTAAATATATACCCCAAATTAGAAAAGAAAGTAAGAGCACCAAAGGAATGCCGCCATGGATAGCCAGCAGATTAATGGAGGCCATTATAGGCAAAAGGCATCCTTTAAAATTGGGAAGTCAAATCCTAAGTGCACAAACTCTGGCAGATTAAGTGTAAAAGTATCATAAGACAGGCCAAGAAAGAATGTAAGAAGCAACTTGCTAAAGATGCACAAACTAACAGTAAGAATTTTTTTAAGTACTTCAGAAGCAGCAAGCCTGAGAAGCAGACAGTAGGGTCTACACTGCAATAAAAAACCCGCAGCATGAGGCTTAGGGCCTGAGTCAATAGACTTGGGCTGTGGGGCTGAAAATTGCAGTATAGATGTTCCGGCTCAGGCTGGAGCCCAAGCTCTGAGACCCTCTCCGCTGGTGGGGTCTCAGAGTCCAGCCTCCAGCCCGAGGCCAAACGTCTACACTTCAGTTCTTATCTCCACAGCCTGAGCCCTTTGAGTCCGCGTCAGCTGACCCAGGCCAGCCATGGCTATGCCGCAGGTCTTTTATTGCAGTGACCAATCTGCTAAAGGAGCTCTCAATGAAGATAAGGCCATTGCCCAAATAAATTTGTTAGTCTCTAAGGTGCCACAAGGACTCCTCGTTGTTATTGCAGAGAAGCTAAATGATAAACACTAATAAGTCACCAGGTCCAGATGGGTTTCAGAGTAACAGCCGTGTTAGTCTGTATTCGCAAAAAGAAAAGGAGTACTTGTGGCACCTTAGAGACTAACCAATTTATTTGAGCATAAGCTTTCGTGAGCTACAGCTCACTTCATTGGATGCATACTGTAGAAAGTGTAGAAGATCTTTTTATACACACAAAGCATGAAAAAATACCTCCCCCCACCCCACTCTCCTGCTGGTAATAGCTTATCTAAAGTGATCACTCTCCTTACAATGTGTATGATAATCAAGTTGGGCCATTTCCAGCACAAATCCAGGTTTTCTCACCCCTCCCCCCCCCCCACACAAACCCACTCTCCTGCTGGTAATAGCTTATCTAAAGTGACCGCTCGCCTTACAATGTGTATGATAATCAAGGTGGGCCATTTCCAGCACAAATCCAGGGTTTAACAAGAACGTCTGGGGGGGGGGGGGAGGGAAAAAACAAGGGGAAATAGGTTACCTTGCATAAACACTTAGCCACTCCCAGTCTCTATTCAAGCCTAAATTAATTGTATCCAATTTGAAAATGAATTCCAATTCAACAGTTTCTCGCTGGAGTCTGGATTTGAAGTTTTTTTGCTGTAATATCGCAACTTTCATGTCTGTAATCGCGTGACCAGAGAGATTGAAGTGTTCTCCGACTGGTTTATGAATGTTATAATTCTTGACATCTCAAGAATGGGGGTGGGGTGAGAAAACCTGGATTTGTGCTGGAAATGGCCCAACTTGATTATCATACACATTGTAAGGAGAGTGATCACTTTAGATAAGCTATTACCAGCAGGAGAGTGGGGTGGGGGGAGGTATTTTTTCATGCTTTGTGTGTATAAAAAGATCTTCTACACTTTCCACAGTATGCATCCGATGAAGTGAGCTATAGCTCACGAAAGCTTATGCTCAAATAAATTGATTAGTCTCTAAGGTGCGACAAGTACTCCTTTTCTTTTTGCAGGTCCAGATGGTATCACCCAAGAGTTCTGAAGGAACTCAAATATGAAATGGCAGAACTACTAACTGTGATATGTGCCTTGGCATGTAGGAGAATGGCCAGGCGTATCTGTGATCTAGCAGAGGTGGAAGGTTAGGAATATTGGTGTGCACTGTCGGGGGAGTCAAAGCACCCACCATTCATAGGATACCTGATATTAGATATATGCTCAATACGAAGGCAGTGTAGACTGAAGGAAGGAGCACTGGTTTGGGAGCCAGGCATTCCTGTGTAGTATTCCTGGCTCTGCCACTGACTCTCTGTGTGGCCTTTGGCAAGTTATGCCACCTTTCTGTCTGTTTCTCCATCTGTAAAAGGGGGTGATGATACTTCCCAGGGGTGCTGTGAGGATTAATTAGTGTCTTTACATGAAATAAAGCCCTATATAAATGCCAAGTCTTAGTATGCCTATGAAATGGAGTGAAGTCAGGGTAAGGCTAGTGGCCAAGCATGCATATGCCCTGATGTTGGCCTTCAAAGCCTAGCAGTGTTTTGATGATGGAAGTCTTTGAGGTGTTGACAGGGCTTTGATGGGGTATGGTCATACAAATAATAAAGATAATAATGGTGGTTCACTTAGGATGTGTGGATGCAGGACTTTGAAACAGCAAAATATGAAAGCTCAGTGCCCCTGGCTTTGAGTTCTCCATGCATAGGGAGAACCCTCTGACTCCCTAGCATGGGTATAAACAGCAGTGTAGACAGTGAGGCACTGCTTAGGTGAGTAGAGTACAGACCCAGTGAAAGACTCCAGCAGGGGAAGGCAGTGGGGAAAGGCTCTGACTCCCACTGCCGGAGCCTTTCCCTGCTGCCACCCTCTGCCAGAGCCTTTCGCTGCTGGATGTAGCTGCACACCACAGTATGGGTGCAGCCTGCTTTTCACTGCCATGTGTGGCTACACATACCCCACATGCTGCTACCAGAGATGTGCAGTGTAGACATACCTCTAGGTATATCAGTGTAACCCTGGAATGCCTGGGAGGGACCTGGAGGCAGACCTGAACTGCAGGGTTTGGACTTCCCCAGAGTTCAGAGGAGGAAGGTGTTTGGATTTGTGCCCATCACTGGAATTCCCATTAGGACACAGAGACAAAGAGCGGCACATCCCTCCTCAGGCTACCCAGGGTTTAACATTGTGCAGGGCTGTATCAGCGTTCGTCAATGCATAGTAGACCCAGGAGTGACGGAAGGTCCCTAAACGTGGGGGGCCACCAGTGTCCGAACTGTGACCCCGCCTCCCCTGTGCCACCCTCCCCCCTGAGGCCCTGCTCCCTCAGCGCCCCTCCCTCCCGAGCTCCCGGCCTGCGCCGCCCATTCCCCTAACACCCCACCCTCATGCCACCCCTTTTCCCCAAGACCCAGCTCCTGTGCCGCCTCTTCCCCCCCAGACCCTACCCTCTTCCCCATTGCTCACCCTTGTGGCCAGTAAAAAGTGGGAGGGAATAGCTTCCCACTTTTAAAGGTGTGGGGGGGGCATGGCCCTCTGCCCCCCCCCCCCGTTCCGGTGACACTGGTAGCACCACACCTGCAAGATGGAATTTTCCACTGTGCTAAGCCAGCAAGGAACCTAATTCTCATTGACTTTCATAGGCAACTGGACACAAAGCTGCCTTTTGTGCCTTTGAAAATCTCCCCCCACGGTGTGACTGATTCCATTAGCTATGTGCTGCACGATACTGTTGATCTGCATACAACTTAAAGTCGAGTTCCCAGAGATTTACTGAAACCCTCTGAACTTTGCTTGTCTGTGCGAGACCCTGAAACCCCTTAGTCTAGAGGTCCAACAGGAGAGGGGGGCTCTTTGCTAATTTTCAGGGAACCACGGCACAGGAAATAATTTCCCTTTCTTTCAACATGTTGGTTGTAAAATTTCTCCTCATTGTTTTACTTTTTGGCAGAGTGATGATGTATCCAAGGTGACCAAGGCAGCTAAAATAGTGGAGCGGATGGTCAATCAGAATACCTTTGATGACATTGCACAAGGTACAGGACTTTCATTCACACTCAGATGTCAGTTCTGTGGAAGAGACCGGCACACTGTTGTGATGAGGGTGGTGAAAGCTCCTTTGAGAATGCAGGCTGTGGGTTTTCAAAGCAGCCTAGGAAAGTTCTATTCAGTGGTATTTGGGTGCCTAACACTCTGACTCCATGGGAAAGCTCAGCTGTAATCAATTACAATTGACCAGTCTGTGCATCAAGTCCTTGATCAGTACCATGTTGCTGATCACTTCCTTAGAGAAGTCAGAGGCTACTCACCGTTATCAACTCTGTGGCCACACCTGGCATAATGACTCCCATGGAATCATCACCTGTGCATGGAGAGGAAGAGGATTGGTGAGATATGTAACTGAGAAGAATCCCTGTTTGCTCTTCAGGATGGCTGTGCAATATTGATCCTTTCCAGGGTCACCATGACAAAGTGCAATAGTTCATGGAATGTTACGTCAAGCCATGTCAGTCCATGTAACAGAGAAATCTGCATGAAAGGCCACCTCTAATAGGCTGCCCTTTTGCCCTAAGTGACCACTTTAAGTGGCCCAAAGGTTGCCAATACTGTACCGTTTTGGTCACTCCTTATTTAAAATCCACAAGCTAGATTCAGCCCAAAATGAGACAGACCCCCTTCAGCTGACAGAAGCCAGGACACAGCCCTCCCAGTAATGGAAAATCTGCGTCGGGGAGTATGAGGGCAGTATAAGACACCCACAGTATTGCTTCCACAGGCGTGGGCACAGCCAGCCCACATAGTCCCCAGCATAGCACTGGCCTGGGAAGGTTTATGGCCAGGACACGTGGAGAATTTACTGATTCTATATATACCTCATGTAGCCTCTCCTTTGGAGCCCTGAGGTCAATTTAAAGCTTCCCCTCCCTAGCAGAGACCCCAAGTGAGGGCATTTTATTCTAATGCCTAATGGTTAGGCAGGGAGATGTGAGTCCGGACTCCTGGGTTTTATTTCTAGCTCTGCCGGTGAATAATTCGGTGACCTTGGGCAAATCGCTTACCTGTCCAGAGCCTCAATTCCACCATCAGGAAAGTGAGGCTAATCATGTTTCTCTGCCTCCCAGGGATACTGTGAGGACAGATTAATTATGAGAGTTTGTAAAAGGCTCTGTGATCCTCAGCGCGAAAGCACCTCAGAAGTGCCAAGGATTATTATGTATTCGTACCGCAAGTAAAACATTGCAATATGCAGGTGTTACATCTTCATAACCCTAGAAAGATTACAACAGGGAATCTGGGGAAGCATTTTCTGGTGGAGTTAAATTTTGTCTTGATTCAAAGAGGAGATCTGCTGCTAACAGGAGGGTGCTATCTATATAGTGGGCCAGATTCTCAGCTGGTGTAACTCACCAGAGCTTCATTGACTTCTATGGAGGCACAGCTGAGGATCCCGCCCATTGCCTTGCCGATCACTGTAGGCTCTCCTACATGTCCCTGTGGCGTGGGGAGTTCTGTGCATGTAGGTATTGGGAGAGCACTCCACAATTTACTGTTGCTGTCTACCCACCTCCAAAGTGACCTGCATATAATAATGATACCTAGCTTTTATACAGTGCTTGTTATCAGCAGATCTCAAAGTGCTTTTACAAAGGAGGTCAGTATAATTATCCCCATTTTACAGATGGGTAAACTGAGGCACAGAGGTGCAATGACTTGCCCAAGGTCAGCCAATGGTAGCCAGGAGTAGAACCCAGGTCTCCTGAGTCCCAGGTTGACACTAACCAGTGGGCAAGCACGGTGCTTCACAAGATGCAGGAAGGCAAGATCACAGCCCAAAGATGCTTGCTATGTAAGGGTCCAGTTCTGTGTGTTCAGTGGGAGATGAGAATGCTTAGCAGCTCACAGAATTGGGCCCTAAGTTAGACAGAGTCAGCACAGTGTTTAAGGACCAGGCTGAGGAAGGCAGCAGAGTGCCAGAATAGAGGTGGAAAGCTAGGTGAAAGAACTGAGGTGTTTGGTACTGTGGTCTTGGGCCTGTATAAAAGAAGGTGGCAGAGAGAGGCTCCAGACATAAATGTGCCATGAAAAAAGGCACAGTCCCAACAGAGAGTATGCGATCTTTAAGGAGCGAGAAGTGGGCCGAGTGCAGGCCGCAGAAGAAGGATGTCAGATCAGAGAAATGAGATGTAGGCAGGAGCAGATCTGGGAACTTGCAGAAAGAAAACAGCCCAGCCAAGTCCATTCATTTATAAGGCACGCGCTGCTCCAAGCAGGCTGGGACTTAGGCAGCCATTCAGCAGGCACTGAGTTGTTTGATCCTCACTGGAATATGTCCCATGCTTTGCGTCGAGTTCCCTGAACAGGTGAGTTTCCTTTCATGGTGCAGGCACTGACAGTCTGAGCTGCCTGTACAAAGCAGCTGTACAAGCCCATCCACTATGCCTGCTTACAACAGGGAACAGAGGCCACTGGGACAGATTCCACACCTTGTCCGTTCTAACGGTGCCCCTCTCTCTTCCCACTCAAATCACTCCTGACACCCATCTGTACGGTGACACTCACAAGAATGGTGTTGGCGGATGTGGGATGGCGTTAATAGAACTTGCATTATCAGGACATGGCTGATCAGCACCTGCGCACCTTATTTGGTGGTGGTTCTCCTTTTCCACAAATAAATAACAAAACATTAGTCTGTGTCGCCAATCTCCCGATGAGATCATCGATGGCTCTATAGTTTCCAAAAGAAAATGAGCCAGTGTGACCCAGGGCCTGAGCCACTGTACTTGCAACTTAGGAGACCAGGCTCTATTCCCAGCTCTGCCACTGACCTGCTATGTGACCTTGAGCAAACCATTTCCCCTCCCACCCATTTATTAGGGTTGCCAACTTTCTAATCACACAAAACTGAACAGCCTTGCCCTGCCTCTTCCCCATGGCCCCACCCCTACCCCACCCCTTATCTGAGGCCTTGCCCACACTCACTCCATCCTTCCTCCCTCCATCGTTTGCTCTCCCCCACCCACACTTATGTTCACCGGGCTGGGGCAGGGGGTTGGGGTGTGGGGTGTATGTGTGTAGGGTGCGGGCTCCGAGAGGGAGTTTGGGTGTGGCAGGGGGCTCAGGGTTGGGGCAGGGGGTTGGGATGCAGGAGGGGGTGCAGGCTTTGGGAGGGAGTTAGGGTGTGGGAGGGGGTTCCGACCTGGGGCAGGGCGTTCAGGGTTTACCTCAGGTGGCTCCCGAAAGTGGCCGGCATGTCTGGCTCCTAGCTGGAGGGGGCAGGGGGCTTTGTGCGCTGCCTGCACCCGCAGACACCGCGCCCGCGGCTCCCACTGGCCGGGAATTGCAGCCAATGGGAGCTGTGGAGCTGGCAGTCAGGGCGAGGGCAGTGTGCAGAGTCCCCGTGGCCACCCCTGTGCCTAGGAGCTGGACATACTGGCTGCTTCCAGGAGCCACATAGAGCTAGGGCAGGCAGGGAGCCTGCATTAGCCCGACTGCGCCGCTGACCACACTTTTAGCGGCTTGGTCAGCAGTGCTGACCAGAGCCCCCAGGATCCCTTTTCGACCGGGCAGGGACCATCTCTTGCTCTGTGTGCGTACAGCATCTAGCACTGCGTGGCCCTGACCTCACTTAGGGACTCCAGGCACTACGGGGATACAAACAATAAATCTCGGGCATGAGCAGTGCCTTAGGCACAAGCTCTGAACATGGCGGTGCCTACTCTTGAGCTAGGGGAGAGGAATGATCTTATTCTCCACCCGCAGGCACTGGTTACAGGCAGGCCCCTTTTGAATGCGCTGGTATTCGTTTCCTCTCCTTTTAGATTTTAAATATTTTGAGGATCCCGCGGATGAATACAGAGACCAGGAGGGGACTCTCCTTCCACTGTGGAAGTTTCAGTATGACAAAGCCAAGAGGCTTGCAGTCACTGCCATCTGCTGGTGAGTTTATTTGTTGCAGATTTTATCTCCTAAATCCTTGGGCAAGAATGGAATGAAATGACATGCGATCTTGCAAGCCAGCGTCCCTGTGAATTGTCATAACGTGGAAGTGTAGCTCCGTTATTATGGCAAGAAGCCCAACATTTTGTATAAAAACATTCTGAATGCTTTCTCTGGGAACACTGTTTGTTTGGAATAATTCAATTCAACGATTATTCGTTGGTGGTAGATAACCATGCCAGGTGCTGGTTTATGGACCAGCTGGCACCTGCTGTGGTACTGAATGTGCCAGGCACATGCTCGGATTCCATTGCCCTTCAGTGGAAGATGAGTACGCTGCTGACTTAGTGTGGAGCACCAGGGCAAAGAGGTTAAATAAATGGAACAAATAAGAGTCCCTTCCCCTGAGAATTGTAAAACCAGATTGGACAGATCTCTGGAGAACATACAGGAAGAGTCAGTCCTGCACTGGCCTAGGGAGAGGTAGGAAAAGAACTATATGAAGGCAGAGGCTTTGGTCTGTGCACAGAAAAAAAAGAGCAGTATGAAGTGCCGATTCAATTGCATGTTCCAGTTAGGTAACTGCATGTGCAAAAGGATAAGTGAGACACTTAGGATATGTCTACACTGCAGTTAAAAACCCACAGTTGGCCTGTGCAGATGACTTGGGTTTGCAGAACTCAGGCTAAGGAGCTGTTCAATTGCAGTGTAGACAGTCAGGCTCAGGCTCGAGCCCAGACTCTAGGACCCTGCTAGGTGGGAGGGTCCCAGAGCTCAGGCTGCAGCCTGAGCCTGAACATCTACTCTGCAGTTAAACAGCCCCTTAGCCTGAGCGCTCCCCCTCCCCAACCCCCCGAGACTGAGTCAGTGGGCATGTGCCTAATTGCAGGATAGACCAACCCTCCGTCTCTGTTCCAGGCCAGCACTTTTAAGCAGATATTGTACATTAAGCATGTATTTTAAGCACGGTCCTGAGTAGAGATGCTTTCCTGAATCGGAGCCCTAAGTAACTATTTCTATAGGTAATGGTTATAGTTGTACATCGCAGAGGGCCTGACCCAATCTAGCACTGGGCCCTGTTGCTGTCCCAGTTTACCTTCTTCCTTGTCAATCCAAAACATCACCACTGATAGTTTCAGATTAACTTTCCCTTTCTGGGGTCTCATTTATTGACATACAATAATACTCAGCTTCTCTTCCCCAGGCCTAATTCATCTTTTTAATTGATAACAGGTGTCAGCCTACACATAGCCTCCCTCTGTGCTCAAAAGTCTTTAGAATTCTTTACCAGGGCTTCACCTTCAATAAATACTAAGTAAGAGAGAACAATAGACTTGTAAGATATGTCCCAGGTATGGATTTGTGTTTTTCAAATCTTTTGTAGTGACAGTGGATCTAATGGTTAGAGCAGGGAAGTCTGGATCCTGGGTTTTATTCTTAAAGAGTGCAAATTATCATTTACTGTCATTATTATGAGTCAAAATGGAGAGATAAAGAAAGAAGCATTAAAAGGCAACTAATACTAAAAGGATAAGAAAACATGATTTAACTGAATATAAAATTAACCTGTGGAATTCACTGCCACATGACATAATTGAGGCAAATAGCTTAGTAAATTGCAAAGAAGGATTAGTTATTAAAGCTTTCTATATCAAAAAGTAGAGTATTGGCAGGTCAGTCCTCATGCTTCAGGGAATAAACTAATCACCAGCTGGGACAGGAAGGAACTTCCCTCTCTGGTCTGTGTGTATGATCTTTGTGGACTTGAAGAAGGCATATGATCGTGTTCCAAGAGAATTTGTTTGGTGGAGTTTGTGACAGAGAGGTGTGCTGGAAGGATAGGTCTATCTTATGCAGGTATATATGATGGAATGTCTACTGTAGTTAAAACCAAATGGGGCTACAGCAGAGGATTTCTAGTAAACATTGCCTTGCACCCGGGGTCAGCATTGAGCTCTTTTTTGTTTGCAGCTGGCTTGGATGTGATTAGGGAGAATATACGAAGGGAGCTGCCTTGGAATACGCTGCTCCGTGATGCCATAGTGATATGTGCAAAGATTATGAGACCCTGCAAGCCAACTCTGAAGAGTGGCAAGACAGTTTTGCGCACCTGGGACTCAAGAGTGAATGTTGGTAAGCCTGAGGCTTTGATAACTGAAGTAGCAGGACCCACTATAAAGGATATTACAGGCAGAGAGCTTAGAATGGTGAAAAAATGTAAATACCTAGGCTCAGTGGTTGGTGACAATGGTGCCCTTCTGAGTGATGTCTGACAGCATACCAAAGCTGCTTGGTGCAAATGGTGGGAGCTGATCTCAGTTTTCTATGATTAAAAAGGTGCCAATAAGGTTAAAAGGGAGAATGTATCAAACTGTAATTTGACCCATCCTAATGTACGGAACAGAAACTTGGCCAGCCACGAGATGAGAAACCAGCGTGCTCTCCACCATGGAAATGAAGATATTGAACTGGTCAAATGGTTGGACGCTCTGTAACAGGAAACAAAATGAGGTTGTGTGGAGAGTAATGTGGGTTGCCCCAATTGGAGACAAGTTGATGGAGGCTAGGCTACATGGCCAGGGGCAAGTCCAGCAGAGATATGAGAGCTATTTTGGAAGGATGGCTCTTGCAATGATCGTGGATGGAAAACAAGCAAGGGGGAGGCCAAAGACTCGGTACATGGACCAGATATCAACGGTCCGCACACAGACCAATTTGCATGACAGCCTGGCATACAATCATGAGTTTTGGAAGAAGGCTGTAAAAGTCACTGAGCCTGAATAGGCAAGTGGCAAAGAAGACAAAAGCTGTGTGAATGATCTTACGTTATGGAACTTATGTGCCTTCCTCTGAATCACCCATTATTGGCCAATGCCAGACAAGATAAGTGAGTGGGTGGACCCTTGTTCTGATATGGTTTGGTAGTTCCTATGCTTCTGTATCCACAATGGTGGAAACTGAGACTTCTTCTCTCTTCCTCTAAGATATAGGGTTTTTTAAAAAGTATATTTTCAGTGATTGTGAAATGTACAAGGCAGGGAGCCCTGGAGACTGAAATCTTATTGTTGTCATCTTTGTCGTAGCCCTTCCTTATCCACTCCATGTGTTGCCATCATCCTCTGTTGTCTGAGTCCACACATAGGTCTTGATCCTGTAAAAAATTAGGCACATGCAAAGCTTTAGTCACATGCGTAAGTGTTTGCAGGATCAAGCCATAGACTGTCGGCTCTTTTGGGCGGTAATCTGGCTTTATTCTGTGAAGCCCATGCACATCTGTTGAGTTAGATAATTAATAATTCATACTCTGTTACATTTACTTTCTTGTTACAGGAATCCGAAGTACAAGGATCTGTTTGCAGTGGGACATGGCTCTTGTAAGTTACAAATTAAACAATATAATTCAGCGACCTAAAAGGGACATTTCCAGGTTAAATAAGAAGATATAATTTAAAAATATTGCACTACTATAGATGTGTTTACCACGATTGCCCACACCATCACGATGGTTAGAAAGCTGGAATACTGGCCCCAATTTTCTCATCCCTGTGTTACTAGCCTCATTTTAGATCATAAAAAGAAAAGGAGTACTTGTGGCACCTTAGAGACTAACAAAGAATACAGACTCACACAGCTGCTAGTCTGAAACCTGACTTTAGATCATGCAAATCTAATTTTTTTTTAAAAATCAAACAAATTCAAGCCATTTTGCTGCTCTTTTATTGTTTGCATTTCATTCAATTTGTACAACAAAAGTAGGCTGGTCAGTTTCCCTTTTGTTTTAGCAGACTTTTTAGTCAGTTTCACTAATTGGTTTTCATGTACTAGCACACTCATGCCCCAGTCTGCACCGTCCGTCCGTGTTGCAAACACCCTAGAGAATGCCAGAAACCAAACAGAAGTCTGTTTTCATTGAAATGGCTGCGGTGCAGTTGTTATCTACAATAGGGTAGCAGCTTAAAACAAAGCCATTGTCAACAAATGTTGCCCTCTAAACAGTTCCCTGAGGGTGCCATGCTCTGAAACCTGTTATCTTTGACAGGTTTCAGAGGAACAGCCGTGTTAGTCTGTATTCGCAAAAAGAAAAGGAGTACTTGTGGCACCTTAGAGACTAATCAATTTATTTGAGCATGAGCTTTCGTGAGCCACAGCTCACTTCATCAGATGTGTACCGTGGAAACTGCAGCAGACTTTATATACACACAGAGAATATGAAACAATACCTCCTCCCACCCCACTGTCCTGCTGGTAATAGCTTATCTAAAGTGATCAACAGGTGGGCCATTTCAGCACAAATCCAGGTTTTCTCACCCTCCACCCCCCCACACAAATTCACTCTCCTGCTGGTGCTAGCCCATCCAAAGTGACAACTCTTTACATAATCAAGTCGGGCTATTTCCTGCATAGATCCAGGTTTTCTCACTTCCCCCCCACCCCCATACACACACAAACTCACTCTCCTGCTGGTAATAGCTCATCTAAACTGACCACTCTCCAAGTTTAAATCCAAGTTAAACCAGAATATGGGGGGGGGGGGGTGTAGGAAAAAACAAGAGGAAACAGGCTACCTTGCATAATGACTTAGCCACTCCCAGTCTCTATTTAAGCCTAAATTAATAGTATCCAATTTGCAAATGAATTCCAATTCAGCAGTTTCTCGCTGGAGTCTGGATTTGAAGTTTTTTTGTTTTAAGATAGCGACCTTCATGTCTGTGATTGCGTGACCAGAGAGATTGAAGTGTTCTCCGACTGGTTTATGAATGTTAGAATTCTTGACATCTGATTTGTGTCCATTAAGTCTCTACGTAAAAGAATAAATGGACACAAATCAGATGTCAAGAATTCTAACATTCATAAACCAGTCGGAGAACACTTCAATCTCTCTGGTCACGCAATCACAGACATGAAGGTCGCTATCTTAAAACAAAAAAACTTCAAATCCAGACTCCAGCGAGAAACTGCTGAATTGGAATTCATTTGCAAATTGGATACTATTAATTTAGGCTTAAATAGAGACTGGGAGTGGCTAAGTCATTATGCAAGGTAGCCTGTTTCCTCTTGTTTTTTCCTACCCCCCCCCCCCATATTCTGGTTTAACTTGGATTTAAACTTGGAGAGTGGTCAGTTTAGATGAGCTATTACCAGCAGGAGAGTGAGTTTGTGTGTGTATGGGGGTGGGGGGGAAGTGAGAAAACCTGGATCTATGCAGGAAATAGCCCGACTTGATTATGTAAAGAGTTGTCACTTTGGATGGGCTAGCACCAGCAGGAGAGTGAATTTGTGTGGGGGGGTGGAGGGTGAGAAAACCTGGATTTGTGCTGAAATGGCCCACCTGTTGATCACTTTAGATAAGCTATTACCAGCAGGACAGTGGGGTGGGAGGAGGTATTGTTTCATATTCTCTGTGTGTATATAAAGTCTGCTGCAGTTTCCACGGTACACATCTGATGAAGTGAGCTGTGGCTCACGAAAGCTCATGCTCAAATAAATTGGTTAGTCTCTAAGGTGCCACAAGTACTCCTTTTCTTTTTGTTATCTTTGAATAACCCCACTATCTATATCAGCAGCCTTGCATGATGATTAGGTTTTCCTCCTTCATGTTAACTCTCTGTCATTGAAAAAGAAACAACCCCCTCTCTGCTGTATTTTGAAATTCTATTGACTTGTACTCTGCCTCTCTCGGGGAGTAAATAGGCGGACAGGGGGCCAAATCCAGATCGCCAGATGCTTTTGAATGGACCCCAAAATATTTTTATTTACTTATTATTATTATCATCATCATTATTTATTATTATTTTCTCTGGAATCTGGACCTTAACTAGACCTTGCCCAAGAAATTTGGATCTTGCCAAAAAATAATTGACTGCCTTGTCTGGGCTGGGTGATGCTGTTGCTGAAGAGTCTCCATAGAAATATCCTCTTCCACCCTGCCACCCACCCACTCCTCCAGCTTGAACTTGAATTCTTACTATAGCAAACAGCTCTTTCATTCTGCATGGAATTCTCACAGACCAGGGTCAGGTCTTTCCATAGAAATACTGGTCAGAAGGAGTTCCTGGGTGTAGCAGGAGCCCTACACTAGTTTTCCTGGGATCATTCTGTGAGGCATCAATCTGTGACTCACGGGACACCTGATTCTGGGAAATGGCTCTGGGAGGCTCCTCTAATGCAGAATGGTCAGCAGTGTAACCCAGAACCCTGCAAGTGCTGGCTTTGAAGTCCTCTGTGGGTCTGCTTCTTTCCCTTGCAGCCTGGTTTCAGTATAGCCATGGTGCCACAGCTCCTTCCCTGGCTCTTCAGGGAGGGATAGCTCAGTGGTTTGAGCATTGGCCTGCTAAACCCAGGGTTGTGAGTTCAATCCTTGAGGGGGCCACTTAGAGATCTGGGGCCAAAATTGGGGATTGGTCCTGCTTTGAGCAGGGGGTTGGACAAGATGATCTTCTGAGGTCCCTTCCAACCCTGATATTCTATGATTCTAAGAGAAGAGTGGTGCCCACAGCAGGAGGGGAAGTCAGAAGATCCAGTGCATTCCCGAAGTAGTTGTTTTTGTTTTTCCAGAGAGCTGGGGGGAGGGTGTGCCAGACAACACAAGAATGTCCCTCTAGCCCCACTCCTGGCATCCCTCCTGCCCTTGGTCTGCTCCTTCCCTATCCACTGATCTCTGACTCTGCAGAGGGGCTGGGATAAGGAGAACAAAGCCCATCCCCTCACTGCAGGAAGCAGGAAGTTTGCATCATGGGACCCTTCACACTGATACTGTGGATGAGGTGATCTGGCTCAGTTTGTATGCTGCTGGAGCTGCCAAAGGATTCCTCCCATCTCCTCTCTATCTAGATATTTTTTCTCTCCTTTCTCACTATTTTTATTTATATATTTGTTTGTTTTTAAATTTAAAAAGCTGATTGTACAGTATGGCATTACCAGCTCTCCATTCGGCTTTGGAAACAAACAAACAAACAAACAAAAAATTAAACTAAAAGCGGCAGCTGCTGCTGAAGTTAAACACTATCTGGAAATTACAGATGGCAGGGATAGTAATTGCAGGTTTTGGAAAGTGAAACAGAATTCACAGGTGTAGTGACCTAGCTACAAATACCACGTCTGTGACTGCCTGCCACTTCATTTGCTAAATACGGCCTTGTAAATTTAAGCTGTATTTGTAAATGTTGACAGTGTAATTCAGGCTGATGAAGTTAGAATCCATTGTGAACATTCTTTGCTGATGAAACAGGGTTTGTTTCAGTTGGACAGACACAAATCAGTTAAGAATCATATTGTGATGCTCTGTACCTTCGGGGAACACCCCCATTTTCATCTTTATAAAATGATTGTGTGGTATCCAATGCAAGGTTTGTCATGTTGGGTGTCTTCGGAGGGCTCATGATGCACTGAGCATGGTTGTTATAGTGAAGTTATAATAATTGTTACAGTAATGTTATAGGCTATAATTTCATGTATATAATTATGAGGCTGAAAATGTATCCTCATGGCTTAAAGAAAGCCCTTGCAAAAACCCACCAAGAACAGAGAGGCAGTTCACACCTCATCAGGGCATGGATGGGACAAACCCAGCCCAGCCTCACAGGAACAAAAGACGCTGGCCTAGGTGGCAACAAAAGAATCTGTTAGGCTCTCGAGTGAGACACCCCCTTCCTTTGGGCAGTCTGGGGCTGTGATGAGGTAATGCTCACCTGACTCTGAAGGGTGGGGTGCAAAGCCAAGAAGGAAGAAAGTACATGTTAAAAGGGAGAGATGTTTGCCATGCTCTTCCTCTCTCTTCTACCTCCATCTTCAGACTACACACCAAACGACTGAAGCGCTGATCAAAGGAGAGAGCCTGGCTGAAAAGCAACCAGCCAGCCTGTGGTGAGAAGCATCTAAGTTTGTAAGATCAGCTTAGAATGCGTTTTGCTTTTATTTCATTTGACCAAATCTGACTTGTTATGGTTTGACTTATAATCACTTAAAATTTATCTTTATAGTTAATAAATCTGTTTGTTTATTCTACCTGAAGCAGTGCATTTGGTTTGAAGCCTGTCAGAGACTCTCCTTGGGATAATGAGCCTGGTACATATCAATTTCTTTGCTAAATTGAGGAACTCATATAAGCTTGCAGCATCCAGCGGGCATAACTGGACACTGCAAGATGGAGGTTCCTAGGGTTGTGTCTGGGACCGCAGATATTGACTAGTGTCATTTGGTTGCAAGTAGCTGGGAGCATTGCATTCCAAAACCTGTGCGTGAACAGTGGGGTTCTCACAGCAGAGCAGGGTAAGGCTGGCTCCCAGAGTCAAGGATTGGAGAGACCTAGCAGATCACTGGTCCAGATAACACCAGAGGGGAATGTCACACATATATTAAATTTAAGGCTCCCTTA